ACCTAAGTATTATGTCATTGAGTAAGTTTACTAAAAAGGTATGTTCTGCCTTATGTCATACCTAATCAAAACCAACTTAAATATAATGGAAATCACTCATCCTATACTGACAGTACAACACTTGCCATATACTAACAGTACAACTTGATAGCAATCAATGTCATTTTCATACCAAAGCGATTTTTATAAATATATTCCGTACGCACTTGTTTTAAACTTTTTGCGTATCTAACATTTTAAATGCGTAGTTGGTATGCAACAATTATTTTTTAATGCGTAAATGGGAATTTTCTATGCGTATTTTACCCGGATACGCAGCTTATCTGGGCCTCTGCATATTACATTTACTGATCATTTACTGGCTTAAGGACAGCAATAACGTTGAAATGAAGAAACCTGGAACCAGCATGTTAATGAAGACTTGACGACTTCGTCTTTTGAGGAAAGTTGGGAGTAAACTGGTGGTGTTCCAATGATCGAAAATCATTCGATAGAAGGATCAAAAATAATTATTGATTGTCAAAAACATATTTTCGATCAATCGTAATTTTGTTTTAGTATAACACACTTGAATGAAGTAAACTAACCATTACATTTGATGAATATTCACGAACAAACAAGCGCTCAACAGCGTAAAGCTATGCACATTGTATAATTTTAACCACTTTTATTGTTTAATTACAATTCCAGTGTTTTTCTTACATGCGTGCATTTCATTGCATGACAGTATTAGTTATAAAAAATCATTAATCAGAAAAAAGCTGGGAACAAATCCTTAAAATTGGTAATTACATTAAAAATGTATATATTTTGATTATAATCGAGAATCAAGTCCTTTGATAATCGACAGTTCATCTGGTTTCCGATTCCCAACACTAGTTCAGCACTTTCAGGACATAATCTTAGCTGAATCAAAATGTTTTACTTTCACTGAAATTACATTTGCATTCAAACTTTATCGAGGACATTCTCCTCTGAATATATTACCCGAGTCTGATCCACATTGAGACATGGTGCCCCTCTCACTGCTGACCTCAACAGCTGAACAGATTCCTTCACTGCCTGGAGGCTGCTCCTCAACATCGTTACCTGAAACCATAGCAACCAGCATCAACAAACTGACAAAGTGTCTTGTTAAAAGGTGGTAGATTACAATGTGGCCAACCTGTGTCTCTTTGGGCAAGTGGTTGGTTAGAAATACCACGGGGCATGGTGGGCGAGCTGTCTAAGGGCCAGCCTAGTGATTGTTAGTGTTGGGAATTGGTTAAAATCTCATAATTGATGATTGGTTCATTACCACCGATCAATCATCGAAAATAATTGGTTAGCGTTATTTATGAAATTTGTTAATGCACAAATAAATAAGGAAAAAACATGTAGTTATTATGGGGGTTTGGGCAAAATTTCACATCTTTAAAGAATATGACAAGTATGTTAGGAACAGAAATTTCTTGATGTCGTTAAGATAAATTCATTCATGGTTGGAACAAGCTTACAGTACTTATGAAATGTAACAGACAAAACCAACCTTATGAAAAATATTGTTGATGAAAACAAGTGTTCCAGAATTGTTTGTGTTCGATTATGAGAAAACATGATCAATTGCTTGGTCGTTTAGTCACTGCGACCAATCTTCGATTATTTCAATTAATCGGATCACCACTAGTGATTGTAACCATCTTTCAGCATGATAATGCACATCCCCATGCAGCCATGGTAACAAGGGATTTTTTTAATAATGAGAATGTTCATGTGATGGACTGGCCTTTATTGTCACCAGACATGAACCCAATCGAGCATCTGTGGGATGAACTTGGACGGCGAGTTCGAAATCAACTTGTGCCACCAAGGACAGTTGCTGAATTGACTCCGGTCCTTCAACATCACTGGCAGACCATCCCACAGCTGTTCCTGAGAAATGTGTGTCTTTCAATACTCTGGAGACTGCGAGCATGTCTTGCAGTGCACGGTGGACACACATAATATTGACTGCAAGTGACCCCTCCATTGTTTGTTGTCGTTGCGTCACTGATGTTGTAGTTGATTGGATGTGTCAGATTAAATTATCCAGACGTTCACTTAAAACAAATCTGCCAGTTACATTGATATATGTTCACATTTGTGTGAGTAAAGAGAGTATGAATGTCAAATTGCGTTATTAATGGCTTTTAGTATAAATATCCTGTAACAACAATATGCCTCTGTTCATCCAGCGGTGAATGGGTACAAATTAAGATGAGATAGCAAGCATTAGATGGTAAAACTACAGTTAACTTCCTGTCACCTCATGGGCACCTTGGGTTGTGTTCTCCACAGGGAGTTGAGAATGAAAAATCGTGTGTGATCTATAGAGCAGGGTAATAATAATGCAGCACTTGCAGCTGTGTTACTTCTCTTGAGGATGTAATCTGCAAAATTGTCCCTTATATTTACTAAGAGACCATTTAATTTATATAATGTTTACAGACATATGTCAAGATCAACAAAATGTGATACCAGTACATATCATATGGTGATGTGGTTAGGGTTTATTAGTGTTCTACCTGTGTGTTCTGCATGCAAAGCATTTTGTGTTAGTCCGAACCGTGTATGTCCATATATGTCGTGAATTCAACTATACACAGCTATTCGCGGTTCAGAGATTTTCAAGTCACTCGTTGTGTGCCACTCCTCCCCAAATTTTTTATGAAACTGTAAAACTCGTTGAATGGGTGAAAGTTAAGTTGATCCTTCTTCAAAATAATGGCAATGACTTGTGGAGCAATGGTTCATGAAACACAAGAGGTAACCGAAAAACGTATTTTCCCCAAGGAAACAACAAAATAAAATAAAGTTTCTCTCAGCTACTTTGACTTGCAAATGATAACATTTTACAGGGGGGCTATGGCCCAGACCCCACTAGAGACTTCCACACTTCGTGGCTTGGGCATAAACCTGCATGCACACGCAAGATTCCAAGGGCTATGTGTTTTGGGAACGCAAGGGTTTTTTTTCATTTGATATAAGATGTTGGGAATCTCACATTTGCTTGTTATGAAAATAATAGCATCAAGTTATACTCACAGGGGCATGTAACACTAAAAACTACCATCAATGTATGTACTGTCACTAACGGGGTCTCAGCTCTATATAAAAGGAAAGGGATGTAACGAGGTCAACACACCAAGTTCGTTTCAGGGCGAATTCAACAATGCTCACTGCATTGAAATTGAAGCAGTACTTTGGGAGCTAGGGTCTTCGGAAGCTGGAAAAATCGTGATTTCTCGATTCCGAGCCAAAATCCCTGCTCAGAATTTGTAGCAGTGACTCACCCATTTTCTTGTATATTTCACAGTATACACAAACAACATGCACCAAAACATGGCACCTGTCAGCGCGCTAGTCGAAATTCTTTAAGAGACATTTACACCTCACCGTCATAATGAGTTTACATAGATTTATTCATCGCAAACAGAATTGTGTCGTGCCCTTGACGACCTTGGCCTTAACCTGCCCCACACTATGATGGGGCATATTTTACTTATAGCCAGTGAGCACCCTTACGGTGCGGGGCAGATGAAGGCCAAGGTCGTCAATGCCAAACGCACGACACAATTCTGTTTACGATGAATAAATGTATGTAAACTCATTATGACGGTGATGGCAGGTTTTAGTGTTACAAGCCACTGTTGTTATACTGTCACTGCTAGACTCTGACAGCCAAAGGATCCTATTATATAGTGATGAGACCTTATGTGGAATAAAAGATGTGTGAGATTTATCTACAATGTCAAACAAACCACCCTTGGAAGGAAAACTAAGAAAAGAATCCTCACATTGCTGAAATTAGATTTCACTTTGTGCCACTAAGTCTCATTTTTATGTCTGGCACTTTGACTATAATCCTCTGCAACAGAGATGGTAGTAGATTATCGTATCGCCTAGTATCGGTATCACCACGAACATAATAAACACGACCTCATGCAGAAACATCAACACACTGTTACGTTCGCTGAAACCGTGAGACAGACTGTACAGTGACTGCTGCGAACGTTTCAGCGAACGGTGGATGTCTGTAATTTGGTGGTTTCGCAACTGGTTTCCATGTTGCAAAACAAATAGCGTGCGCATGACAATTTCTAAAGTTCTACCACACAAGAACCAAATGTCGCAACATGCCATACCAACCTGTCAGCGACTTCGACTTCTTAAACCGGAAGCAATGGACATGCTGATCGTGGGACCGCAGTCAAAACAAGAGTGACTGCCCTTGATTTTCCTGCCACCAGGTGCGCAAAGGTCAAGGTTCACACTGTAACAGCTTAAGTAAATAAATCAAGACTAAGCTTATCTCCAAATTATTCCGCAAATATAAAATAAACTATATGCACGTGAACCTATACTCTATTATTCAAATCAAACACGTTTGATTCTCACTTAGAAAACATCTTCTCAAATGCTAAAAATAGTCTCGATAATGTAGCCAATCAAAGGCTGTACTTTCCATAACATTACCGACCATTCCCGTTATAATTAATACATTAATTTCGTAAATATTTTTGAATTCCTGATGTTTCTTTTCTGTATAAAATGTCTACCGATAATAAGAAAGTATTTCTTAAGGTAATATTTGTAGTTGATACATTCGCCGCTGAATTACTATTTTGTAAACTGGTTCCATTATTTGTTCACGCATGGACGGGTTTCCCTGTCTTAAAGCGCCTGCGCTGTTTGATACAGTCATATTGGGTATTGAAGACAGCAAACCAGTCTACTCGCTCAGCAGAATACATAAACCCAGTCAAACATGGCCGTCACCTAATATACGGACGAAACCCAAAACTTTCATTATTGCTGAATTGAGATTTTTATGATAACCAGGAAGACAGAAATGTGCATATAATCGGCCCAGATTCAGTATTAAAATTTGTCATGTCGAAATATGATTTTAATATGACCAATAATATATCACCACAAGAACACAAATAACAATACTTGTCCGGTTTATTAATTTACAAAGATGGTGGGTGTTGTCTGCTACTATAGATCAGAATAACTTTATCTTTCTTCTTTACGTTGTTACATAACACAGATGGTAGGATTGTTATCTATTGATACAATATGATTAGTTTTGAAATGAATATGTATCTGGACTATGTTGATTGTCAATGTTTTGTGAAATTAGCAAATCTTTCTGGCGTCGGTGTTTTTCAGATAGGTGTCACATGACTTCAGGTTTGAGTTATCACAGTATTAAAAATGAATTTACATGAAACACTGAAATTCAGTGGGTCTTTATTTTTACAGAAATCTCGCATCATAACAGCAGAAAACACATTAAATCACAAATCCTTCAGAGAAACATTGTTGAATTATTAAGGGTAATAAAACTCCAATTCTTTGTCGTCTAGACCGTGCCATTTTAATTATCACAATCGCCAGATGCCAGTTAGCGTCAGTAAATCCACAAACTGGGTTTCAGACGGACAGGGGATAACCTCGTGCACAACCAGGAAAATCCCCTTGAATTCTCATATTGAACAAATTATGCTTCCCAAAAGCCTTTCTCTCTGCAACTTTGTATATGTGTGTAAATGTGTATGTGCAATCATGTAGTTCCTTGTGGAGCAATTATGTTTACATATTATTTTTGCAACTGTGAAGTTCAGCTGATGTACTCAAAACAGCAACAACATTTTCAGGCAAACTGCATATAATACTACAATTACTACTTCTTGTCATCCATGTATTATCGTATAGGTAATAAATGGTGGTGGCAGCACTTGGATTACTTAGAAAATAAGTTGACATTCGTGAAATTCCCCATCATTACAGAAGGGACAGATTACATCCGTTAATGGAATTGCGGAACCAGCAGAAACGCCGCGTCTATAAGCTTGGATATTAAAATCGGTTGACTTGCAGCGAAATTTAGTTATAGCACGGTGCAATTTATCAGATTTAATGAGGTGTAAATATGGGTCTGGCTGAAGGATGGTTTTGAATGCACAATAAGAAGATAACAATGGGGATTCATGTCGACATGCACCCAATCCTGCATACATACATCTTTCAATCGCTGCTTAAATACAAAAATAAAATTATCAGTATTACCAACATCAAGACACCCAATTTGCATAACCTTGAGCATCAAAATATTTCAACATTGCATAACAATGTGTAACATATCTATTTTCAGGCATTCTCATAATTTTAAACCAGTATTTAATGACACGTGTATAAATGTTTACATACAATGGAGTACATCCACACTCACCCAGGGCAGCTGCATTTGAAGTTCTGTAACTAACGTTTAAAATATATTTGCAAAATATATTATAAGTAACACTATTTACCAATGATTTACTACAGGTTTTGTGGTATGTTCAGTTTATGGATGTTTGTAAAAAAGTGCTGAATTAGTTTGTGAAATCATAGTTTCAGGGAACAGCAGACTTTATTGCTACAGTAAATGTGCTCAACAGCGTTCATCGATATATGTTTATATAAAACCAAATCACAAACTTACATGTATTTTTAAAAAACATATATATTTGGTGTTTGTTTATATTGTCCAAAAATTGATATTGCTGGAATATTGTTAAAATCGCTGTAAAACCATATTCACTTGCTCACAAGCTCCTAGTTTATATCGGGGCGGTGGGGTAGTCTAGTCGTTAAACCCTTGGCTCGTCACGCCGAAGACCTGGGTTTGAATCCCCACATGGGTACAACGTGTGAAGCCCATTTCTGGTGTCCCCCGCTGTGATGTTGCTGGAATATTGCTAAAAGCGGCATAAGGCCAAACTCAGTCAGCCTAGTTTATATCAGTTGTTACTCTTGATCCGTTATGTTTCAGAGGTTCAGATTCTGTGGGGACCTGGACTGTCCAGATTGGGTTCTGGCAGAAATCAGCATTCTGTCGAAAATGGTGAGTTATGTATTTCTGTATTTTATTAATATTGAGAACAGCTTAACAGTATGTTTCAAACAGTTGTGAGGAAGTGTGAAGGAAATGATACATGGAAGGAATATGGCTTGTGAAATAGAGGGTTAATTTCAGCATTTTAACCAAAATGTTTTGGCAGGTATGTTGTGACAAAGCATTATTTGGTTCAAAAGTCAAAACGTTTGTGTTATTTTTTTAAATGTTTTCTTCATTTTGAATTTAATGTAAAACTTTATAAAGCAATTGCTGTGAGTTTTGTCCTGGCTATCAGCAAAATGAACTAAATGTAAGACTTCAATAGCATGCATAAAACCCTATTTGTAGACATGGAGTTGGTTATTGACTTCTTAGTGTGTCTCAGTAAACCCCAGTAAATATCTGTGAAGGTCTCAAGAGATCTCTTGAGGATATGTTGTGACAGTCATTAAACAATGTAGTGTGGTGGGTTGTATCCCATAACCCCTACATGCCACTACCCCTACAGCCCAGTACCCCTACAATTAGTTAAAACAACACACGGCATTTACCTGTCTGGCATAATGAACTAACACAAAGATAGATTAGTGCATAGAGTATACAGATGAGATCAAGGGAGGGATTAAACTGTTCTTTAGTGTTTTGTGTCAAGGAAATTTGGGATTAGCTAAAAGTTGTTTTAGTTTCATGATGAAAGATAAACCTCTACTGAGTAGAACAATTTTACAAATTGGATAATGTGTAGGTTGTTAAATGTTGAAATTAAGTTGTTTTATTGCCATGATAAAAGATACACAGTATTATTGAGAAGTGAAGGGAAATGAGAAGGTGAGGCGAGAAAGTAAATTGAGATAGTTCGGTATAGTATATAGCTGTTGACAACAAACTAACATGGCATCAACATGGCTGGTCTGCGTAATGTTGAGTTTGATATGTCACGAGGAGAGGCCTGCCCTGCACGATGGAATCAAGTCTATATCATACATGCCAGGCGTGGGACCACCACATATCCCCTCATCTTCGCCTTACTTCCCGACCGCCAGGCGACGACCTACTCCAGACTCTTCAGACTCCTCAAGGATGAAGTTCAGCGGAGACTCAACAGGCGCTTGTCCCATCCTGTATCCAGACAGACTTGAGTTAGCAGCAATCCATGCCTTAGAGACTGAATTTCCAACTGCTGTGTCGTGAAGGGTTGTTTCTTCCATTTCTGTCAAGCCATTTGGAGGAAGGTTCAGGATCTTGGACTGGCTGTTGCCTACAAAGAAAGCCCCGAAGTCACCAAGTGGATCAGGAGAGCAGCTGGGCTACCTCTACTCCCTCAAGACACGGCCCAGGACACGCTGGTAGAAGCCATGGACGACACTCCAGACGTCCCAAGAGCAGTCGACTTCAGCGATTACATCGTGACAACCTGGGTCGACGACACAGCCAGATTTCTACTTCCCCTGTGGAACCACAACCTGACAACTGGGCCGACGACAATCAACAATCTAGAAGGTTTTCACAACCGACTGAACCGTGAAATTCCACACAGGCATCCGAACATATACAGGTATGTATGTATGTATTTGTAGAAGTCATTAGGAGAATTGGACATGCTGAGAGGGTGAAGATAGACTTTGGTGATGCGACAACAAGCAGAAAGCGAGTCTTCAGGGAGATTGACAATCGCCTGTGTAGACTCAAGGAGCAGCTTGAGCTTGGACAGAAATCACCTCTTCAGTTCTTGGACGCCGTCGGCTATCTGCTTCAGCTGGGATAGATTGAAACACTGAATGTTCATAGACTGAAACACTTGACACAAATGACTATGTTAACATTGAATGTTAACAATTAATTGTTAATGTCCATCAAAGAATCATGATGACGAATTATTGTTAATTCTTATCAAAATCTTGATGATGACAAATGATGATCACTTTTCATTAAAATCATTCTCTCAACCTTTTAGTTGTGTGTTGTTATGTCTCTTAACGGGATTAGTCCATTGTGTGGAATAGGTAACAGGCAGTGGATTAACAGTGCAACAGACCGTAAACTATGTTGTTATAAGCTGTAGGGGTAGTGGCATGTAGGGGTAATGGGGGGTTACCGTGTGGTGTGGCCTCAACTGACATTTGTAATCTTTCCACTGTTTGTTCATGTCTGCCAAATTATATTTTTAGCATCTCTTTTTCATGCACCAGAGAGGATTAGGCAAAAAGAAATATATGTCCCTTTCCTATTACATGCTTTTTAAAAATAGGGTAGGTGGGTCGGTTTTATCTTTTGTTGTTACTCTATTTTTATTTCTTAGTGGCACCAGGTGGGCACCTGAGGTCTTCAAGAGTATCATATCATGTAGTGACAATGCCTTATGATAAAACATTGAAAGATTTCTATATCAAATCATTATTTATGTTATTTATTTGCAGATTTGGCCAGTGAGGATCTATTATGCCAATTCGATTCAATCCATTTTAGCCCTGCGAACACTGAAAAATATGAAAATATCATACTCGATTTGGATGAGTTGAACTGCACTCCAGTCATGATATTGACTTGGTTAAAAAAAGAATGTGTGTGTGTGTGTTTTGGATAGGGTCGGTCGGGTTGCCGGAAACAGACACATATTTTGGCCTTAGGGACTGATCTTTTAATATGTATGTGTGTTTGATTTCCTTATCCACTTATGTCTGACATGATTCTGAAGAACCTCCCCATGTCGTTAACATTTATATTTTATGATGATGATAATGGTGATGTTGATGATTATGATTGGTTTTCAGACATCTGTGAAAATGAAGCTTCTATGTGTCCAAGTTATCAAGGATATTCTTGGGGCAGGGCTAGATGTAAGTATTGTGTATTCAGCATTTATGGGTCTAGGGATTGGATAACAGGGGATATGTGCTTTAAATAATCAGAAGGCATTCATCAAAAACAGGGACACAAAATCTAAAAGGCTGTGTTACTTTCTGAGAACCCTTGGTTATTTTAACAAAATCTCGGAGAATAGTAAAGAACAAGCACGTACTTTAATTAAGAGTGGGTGTTTTCAACAATGAAACTTGAAATGTCACACAATTCATTTATTTTGAAGGGATAAGTTATCTGTGTAGTGAAGAGAAAATACTTGAAATAATTTGAAGACCGCCCAATTGCATAACAGATTAACTATTTTAATTCGAAAGAATCAAGTGTTCCGTAAATTTGTTTGAGTGTTATCAGTGTATAAAATAGTTTTGAAATATGGCCTGTCCAGGAACTTGCTGTCCAACAAAGTGACCAGTCCTGAACAAACACAGCCAGTCCAAAAATATTTAAATATTTCCCCAGTCTAAGTAAACTTAGGCTCAGTATTAGTCATTACACTGCTATACTGAGTCTAACAAAACCTAGTAGAAGGTCATGTCAGCTAGCCTTTGAGCGACCTGTGACCGTCCAATCAAACGCGAAACGGTCGAACGGATTTAACCAATCAGACAGCGACTACTTGTTTGGGTTTGGCGGGACTTACAGAACAGTTTTTGGATTTTCTCTTCCCTGGTCGCTGACACTGATCTATCAACAAACGAAATCTGCATAAAACACAGATATTTGACCTGCAGTATATACTCTTATGGGTTTCTAATGACATGGTTACTGTTTGCTTATATTTTCGCCAGATGACATCCTTAAATATTTACAAAAACACTATTTTCTGCGACTGTTTACTCATTGCGTGTATCACTCGGAAGCAATCGTGTGAAAATAGCATTCGGAATCATTCAAGTTTTTTAGGTAAAGGTTCAAACGGTGTGTGCAAATGTTAACTTTTGTAACTTTCATGATTACTTTTGGTAAGCTGTGTTCTGATTGGTCAGTCCAAAAGGTTAGCTGACGCAACCTTCTAATAGGTTTTGTTAGACTCAGTATAGCAGAGTATTGAATAATACTGAGCCTAAGTTTACTTAGACTGAATATTTCTCCCGACCAAAGGACGGCCTTACTTATTTAGTAGACCGTCCTTCACAAAAATAGACCGTCAAGGACGGTGGGACAGGCTATGTTTATACACTGGTCTTATTTTTGGAAACTCCAAACAAGGAGGACCAAATATTTAATAGTTAGAGACTGCATTAAGAGAGTCTTTATTTGGAAGGAGACTGCTTTAAACTTTAAAGACATGCTGGATAAGACAGAAGTTGATTTAAACTAACTTAAACAGATGCTGGATAACAAAGAGTGAGTGAGTGAATTTGGATTTATGCCGCTTTTAGCAATATTCCAGCAATATCACGGCGGGAGACACCAGAAATAGGAGATAACAGAGAGTCAGCCCACTGTATACTAAAGTATATTGCTGTGTTGTTACATGCAGGTGTTGCTACTATGTTTGTTTCATTGCAGTATGACAAAGTCTACAAGCTGACATCAGATGCTAAATTTGGTGAGATGCTTCTTTATTTCAGCTCTTTCCAATTTTAACTTCTTTGAGTGGCATTTTTAGAAGTTGGGAAGTACAATATAGAACAAACTTTATGGATAACAACTTCTGTTTATTCGTGAGTGCGACGTTTCGGTACAGATTCTTGTACCGTTGTCAAGCATAATAGAACATGAAGAAGGGGGAAGTATATATATACTGGATGTAACAATGTAATAAAGAAAACAACATAATTAACATAATTGGCTAGGCAGAAAGCTGATGAAGCCAGAGAGTAGACAAAGGACAGGTGTTGAAGCCAATGATGTACAAATAATAATGAGATGTTTATACAGCAGAGTTTATACAGTAGATTGGGCTTGGTGGATGAGTGCATCATAAGCTGATGGAATGGTCTCGGTTGATGGTGGGCTTTTGGCGTTTGATGTGGATGGCTTCGGTGAGCTTGCGTTTAGTGAAGTCTGTTTGTTTGTTTGTTTGTTTGTTAGAGAGAATGGTGATGTCAGACCACTCTATTTGATGATTGGGGCTTGCTTTGATGTGGTCGGAAATGGCTGATTTGCTGTCAGAATTGGTAACAGAGGTCTGATTGACATTGCACTCCCAGAAATATATCCCCATCTACATTTGTTCCGGGGACATAGCACATGGTCAAAGGCATCTGGATTGTGTTCAAGTTTGTGCCCCTATGTAGTCCTTGTTATGTTCCTCTGCCATTTATAATATCCTGGGGTATCATTGGTTTGTCAAAGCTATATCCTATGCTTGCAGGCTTAACCAAAATTTTTACCCAATATTTAAGTTGTATTACCTGATTACATCATTAGTTCTTGGTTTTCAAATAAGTTTTGTCATTTGTTTTTAGTTTCAGTTTGGTTGACTTACCGATGCACATGAAATATTGATAAAGTGATTGTATTACATTAACAGAATAAATTAGAAGGCAATACCGAAAACGAAATGTGCTGTAAAATTTTCTTTGTTTGAGAAGTGATGCCACTCAGAGATGCACAGTAAGTGAGTGAGTTTAGTTTTACGCCACACTCAGCAATATTCCAGCTATATGGCGGTGGTCTGTAAATAATTGAGTCTGGACCAGACAATCCAGTGATCAACAGCATGAGCATCGATCTGTGCATTTAGGAACCGATGATGTGTGTCAACCAAGTCAGCGAGCCTGACCACCACATCCCGTTAGTCGCCTCTTACGACAAGCATGGGTTACTGAAGGTTCATTCTAATCCGGACCTTCACTGGTAGATGCACAGTAAAATTTTAGAAGCATGTTACCATGGCGAGAAGTGAACTGAATAAATTGATTAACTCAGGGGGATATATGGCGTGTACTATTTGCACCCACTTGTCATATTTATGAGTAATACTGATTTTCTCATCTCATCTTGATATCCAGAGATGGGCGATGTGAAAGCTAGCATTGCGGCTCTGACGTTTATCTTGACGAGTGCGGGCAAGTACAGTGTGGATGGGGACACCTTGTCTAACGAGCTCCAACAGCTTGGTCTTCCTAAAGGTAACAATCTGATCGTAGTCATACTATACAATAAACCTTGTATGTGATGAATATACTTATTACAAAGTGACGGAAGTAAAAATTGGGTTTTGGTCTTGTCCGTTTGTTATAATTATGTATTAGCCAAAATGTGTTCAGCAAAGAGTGATAAAATAAGGTAAAATCGGACAACATTGACTCTCTGATACGTTTTGTGTGTTTCCTGAATTGTCACTCCAACATTAAATAATAAAAAGTTTTCTCATCTCAATTTTCTGTAATGTGATAAAAAATATTTTCGTACAGCACATGCATGCAAAATACAGATCAATCTTTCATCTTTCACAATCATAAACAAATTGCTTCTGAAGCAAGGCAACTTCACCAACATTATGGTCTAATTTAAAGATGACAACCAAGTGATCTAGAGTTTGAAATTTCGTTGAATAATTTACACGCATTAAAAACATTTTATAGATTTTATTATTTATATTTACTTGTTTCCCCTGTCTGCTATCTTGCTGCTTGAGGAGGGAGATGAGATTCACATTTATATGGATGCTTTCAGAGACATTATTAAAAGGTTTTATTTCTTGATTTTAGTATCAATTACATAAGGGAGATAACTCCTGCTGACATAGTGCTTATCAGCCTCCATTTTCTTGAATCATGTCCTTAGGTTTTTCAGAACATGATGTACAACAACTGTTCAGTAAACTGAGTGAGTGAGTTTAGTTTTACGCCACACTACGCCAATATTCCAGCTATATGGTGGTGGTCTGTAAATAATCGAGTCTGGGCCACACAATTCAGTGATCAACAGCATGAGCATCGATCTGCGCAATTCACAGGTACAGTAAACTGAGGCTACTATTCACATCTTCAGCAAATGTCAGCAAATATACCTTAATGGAAATCACACATTTCCCAGAAGTGCCAATGTGAAGATGAAATATAGTTAACAATAGCCCGTGCTTATCATAAAAGTGAGTGAGTTTAGTTTTATGCCACTTTTAGCAATATTCCAACACCATCAAGACATCAACAATTGGCTTCACACATTGAACCCATGTAGGGAATCAAACCCAGGTCTTCGGTGTGGTGAGCAAACGCTTTACCCACAAGCCTAACCTCGTTAGGATGAGAAAGCCACAATAACTCGGTGCGCCTTGTGGCTGCAAGAGTTGTATACTCCCCAGGGAGTTGAGATTGATAATACGATGTGCTGTTGAGATTGACATCCAATGATCGAGGGAAAAAATACCAGAGCCTTGAGCATGCACTAGTTGCGTGGATATGTGCGCTATATAAATATCCTATAATAATAATAATAAAGCCTACCCAACAACCCCTGCTTGTTATAAGAAGCAGCGACACTGATCACAGACTTAGTTGAGTGTGTAGCTGGTGACAATATTGATCACTGGATAGCTTGGTCCAGACTGGATTGTTCACAGGTTGCTGTGATACATCTGGAATATTGTGAGAGTGGCATTCAGCTACAAACAAGGGAATATATAAAACTCACAAAACCAAATTATTCTTGTGTTTCACAGAACATGCGACCTCTCTTACCAAGTCTTACAGTGACAGTCTAGACAAGCTGCAAATACGACTGCAGGAACAGTCTCTCCGCTGTAAGTACTGCTGACTTCCCATCTGACTGAAATCAGATCTTTTAGTTTGATCCGTGAGGAGATCAGGTAAGAATACAGGCCATAACTTGTTGTCAGAGGAGACAAGATCAGCGTGGTAAGTAGTGGTGGTGCGATTTATTGAAATAATCGAAGATTGGTCGCAATGACTAAACGACTAAGCAAGATCATGTTTTCTCATAATCGAACACAAACAATTTTGGAACACTTGTTTGCATGAACAATATTTTTCATAAGGTATGATTTGTCTGTTTCATTTCATAAGCATCACAAGCCTGTTCCAAGTCATGATTGAATTTATCGTAAAGACTCCAGGAAATTTATGTTCCTAACATACTAGTCATCCTTTAACTATGTGAAATTTGCAAATGCATTTTGTGCAAAAACCCCAAAGAACTACATGTTTTTTCTTTATTTAACAAACATTACCAGGCAAATTTGAAAAATAACGCTAACCAATTATTTTCGATGATTGATTGGTTGTAATGAACCAATCAACAATTATGAGATTTTAACCAATTTCCAACACTAGTGGTAAGTCTCGGTTTCTTGGTTGATTAAGAATGAGATGTCAGATTTAATAATTACAGACGATTAATGTTATGCAGAAAACAAACAGACAGACAGTGTCAATCCTTGTTCAGGGTTGTTCTATTCACGCAGGAAAACAAATGATAAGCAATTTGATGACGGTTTATGTTTGGATTAAATATCTTCTCTATATGATTATCCCCCGTCATAAAGTGGGAGGGGGATATAAGTTTGAGCTCTCTCTGTCTGTCTGTCTGAGATGATGGGGACAGATTTTCTCAAAAAACGTTATAGATAGGCAGACCTCCAGATAAGATTTAGCTCATGTGGGTACTGTACCCACTGTATTTTTTTGAGTGGGTATTATGAATTTTGAGTGGGTATTTCATTTTCCGTTACCCACTGCTTTTAAATATGTGCGTATTTCACATATTTCATGTATTTCAGTCATTTTACTCACCTAAGTATTATGTCATTGAGTAAGTTTACTAAGCAGGTATGTTCTGCCTTAAGTCATACCCGAAGCAAAACCGACTTAAATATAATGGAAATGATTTCATAAAAAATCACTCATGCTATACTGACAGTACAACTTGATAGAAATCGATGTCTTTTTCATTACGCAAGCGATTTTTATTAATATATTTCGTACGCATTTGTTTAAAACTTTTTGCGTATCTGACATTTTAAATGCGTAATTGGTACGCAACAATTATTTTTCAATGCGTAATTGGAAATTTTCTATGCGTATTTTACCCGGATAACGCAGTTTATCTGGGCCTCTGGATAGGGAAACCAAATGTGGTATGTATTTTCAGGACACAAATGCCTTGATGGAGTTCAAAAATGGAAACCATGTTACCATTCTTTACAGAGTTATGGCCTGTGTTTCTTGACTTGGTGCACGTTATCCCCAATATAGGAACAGATTTTCTCAGAAACAGTTATAGATAGGGAAACCAAATGTGGTATGTGTTTTCAGGACATGAATGTCATGGTGGAGTTAACAAAGAAGTACCAAATAGGAACAGAACCCTGTGGCAGGGGATATTGATGACCATATCTTTATGTTTCAGTTACTTCTGTGATTATCGTAAACCATAGGAGGCAATATTAATGCATATCTACCATGTTTAGAACAGTATATCCAGCTGTAACAGTCTAGTCACATGACATTCCATGGATGCATTGTGGGACTGTGGACACAGGCTTAGAAGATATTGTATTTAGTCTGTGATTTCTGAGCACATGGATTAGGATATTGTAAATATTGTGTTTCAGTGTCCTCCCTGGAGAATGTCAAATGGAGGGTGGACTACATCCTCAGCTCTAGTGAACTAAAGGTCAGTGGTCAGCATCACCCCCTGCTTGTGTCCACCTCGGTCCCCTGTACATGAAATTGTCTTCACTTAGATCCCGCAGTTTTATCAGCCCTTGAAGACCAGGGTTAGAATGAACCTTCAGTAACCCATGCTTGTCATAAGAGGCGACTAACAGGATCGGGTGGTCAGGCTCGCTGGCTTGGTTGACACATGTCATCGGTTCCCAGTTGCGCAGATCGATGCTCATGCTGTTGATCACTGGATTGTCTGGTCCAGATTCGATTATTTACAGACCGCTGCCATATAGCTGGAATATTGCTGAGTGGGGTGTAAAACTAAACTCACTCACACAGTTTTGTCTGCCTGTGGGGAATCGATGAAAAGGATAGATACATGATACAGCCTTTCATTTATGTAATCAATCGTTTTATTGTCAATTGTTTTTTGTCAGCTTATGCTAATACTAAGGGTTATGTAGCATGAGATTAAATATGTGTCTTGCTTATACCAGTATTTTCCTGATTGGCTCAGTTTGGAGTAGAAAGATACATTACTGTTGGAATTAATGTGTGACGTTTATAAAATATTGTCAGTCACTGACTGGGATCTGGCTGGATTCACATGTCATTTAGATGTTTTGGTGATTATACCAAGTTTTTGATGGCATTCTGTCAGTACTTTACAAACGAACACATCTGAAAGCCTGTTTGCTGAGTAATGGTTAATAAGTTGTTCTTTTCATCAGGATATCAACGAGCCAAGTGTACAGATTAGGCTTGAAATGAAGAACCCAGACACACGGTCAACAGAACCTGTGGCATTCACTGTGTCTGCAGACAAGTTCCGAGTTCTCCTGAATGGTAGGTGATATTGTGGGCAATAGAAAGAAGAACCTCAGACACACGGTCAACAGAACCTGTGGCCTTCACTGTGTCTGCTGACAAGTTCCGAGTTCTGCTGAATGGTAGGTGATATTGTGGGCAATAGAATGAAGAACCTCAGACACACGGTCAACAGAACCTGTGGCCTTCACTGTGTCTGCTGACAAGTTCCGAGTTCTGCTGAATGGTAGGTGATATTGTGGGCAATAGAATGAAGAACCTCAGACACACGGTCAACAGAACCTGTGGCCTTCACTGTGTCTGCTGACAAGTTCCGAGTTCTGCTGAATGGTAGGTGATATTGTGGGCAATATGATCGAGAACCTCTGACACACGGTCAACAGAACCTGTCGCATTCACTGTGTCTGCAGACAAGTTCCGAGTTCTCCTGAATGGTAGGTGATATTGTGGCAGATAAGATGGACAACCTGGACACACGGTCAGCCAAATTTATGCCCTCATTCTATCTGTTGGACATACAAAAAGAAGTCTGGATGTTTTTTTAAGTGTATCATACCTAAGTAGGAAACCTCTTCAGGATTTACTGTTTGTATAACAAAATATTTCAGGTATCATCAAACTTAAGAATGCATGAAACTGAATACAAGTCTAGAAGGTCGGAATATGTGTTGATATCATCGTGACATGATTGACTTGGACATTGAACAAGTTGAAAGTATCTATAGTCTATTTCGCACACTGGTTCCGACAGCTCAAGACTGATGCGGTTGTTGCTGATTTGGGAATGAACAGCTTTCCGGAGCTCTATTCTAACATAAGCTGAATGACCCTTTTTCATAAGCATTAATATATCCTTTCTTGGGTATGCCTGTTAGTGAACGCAATAATTACGGTGTGTCACGCTATTAAAACTTGTCTGTATATATTACACAATATGGGGATCTGATTATGCTGAGGAATGAATACTCAGAAGTAGGAATTTGTGTTGACATCATCTGACATGATTGACTTGGACATTGAACAATTAGAAAGTATCTATAGTCTGTTTGCAGTGAAAATATACTGGTGAATTTCATTTTAAACAAAAATGTAAATCGAATAAAGTGAAATTAAGATTGCGAATCCTCATAATTCTATCTTGCCAATTGAAAATTTAAATCTTAGATTTTTATTCAACTTGGGAAAAAGTTGTTTAACAAACGATCATAGTTTCAAATCGCTTATATTGGTTTGTATTACAAGGGGGTAAGCTCAGTAGTTGGAACAGTCAAACAAATCCAGGTGCGGTATGTGATGAACGTTAACTTAGGCCAACCCTCCTTGTTCTCGGTGTTTCATTTAATGTGCATACCCCCTTGTAATACAAACCAATAATACCAACGTGAAACTATGATCGTTTGTTAAACAACTTTTATCCTAAGTTGAATAAAAGTCTGAGATTTAAATTTACAAATGGCAAGGTAAAATTATGAGGATTCGCAATCTTAATTTCACTTTATTTGATTTACTTTTTTGCTTAAAGTGAAATTCATCGGTACGTTTTCACCGCAAACAGTCTATATAAGATAAGAACTGCCTACTGTTGGTACCACATTAAACTCTGCCACACACATGACAAATTGTCTCCCTTTGTCCAGGGGAATCTCAACTGCAGCAGGTGGTGGTCTGAATGTTAAGCAATGCTTTATAAGTTTTGATTTGTGTGTTTCAGAGCTGAAACAGGCTGATTCAATGATGGACACTCTGGCCTCATAGCTTCATGCTCAGCAGTCCTACCGGACAAGATCAACTCTACCAGGCGTGTCCACATGGGAACTTGAACAGTTACACATTCATGACGTGTGGAAGGTTATGTGATTGCTAGCCTGTAAGCCACTGTTGTGAGTGGATCAATTACATGTTTCAAGGGGTATATTTTAACCGAAGATGCATCTCAGGCAGATTCTCAGCATATTCACTCAGCAGAGATTTAAGGACATACTGGTCCCCATTTCATCATACTTGTCTCCTATCTGTGAAGATCCGGCTTAGACTTGGTCTTCAGTAACCCATGCTTGTCGTAAGAGGCGATTAATGAGATCGGGTGGTCAGACTCGCTGACTTGGTTCACACATGTCATCGTATACCGACTTCGATCGATGCTCATAATATTGATCTCTGGATTGTCTGGTCCACACTCGATAATTTACAGACCACCGTCATATAGCTGGAATATTGCTGAGAACGGCGTTAAACAACAAACAAACATGCTTGTCTCCCCTTGTTTACATTCCAGGTCCGACTAGGTAAGGTTCTTACAAAAATGATCAGACTCACCCTGTCAATCACTGTCAGTGGTATGTGGAGAATATTGCCAGTTGAGGCATAAAACAACACTTACTCCCTGATACCTGAATGTTTGATGGTGATACAATTATATATTTTAATGGAACCATATCATGTCTTATGTAGATGGAATTATTAGTTTATTTAAAAGGTCAGTGTGATGTCACACTGAGCAAATATACACTAGCTGATACGTAGGTGTACATTCCATGAAATGTATGTCAATAAATGTCTTTCAAGAAGTGTCATCTGTTTGTGATTATTTAATTAATGTCACTGTTTTTAATGTACTCACCACAAATATTTAAAGATCTGGGATAGAATTGGTTTTTTTGGGGGGTGGGGGTGTTTTAGCTTAGTGGTTAAAGCATCCACTTGTCAAGTTGAAGACCCGTGTTCTTCGTGATGAGTGAACACTTAAGCCACTAGGCTATAGGGCTGGGTATTGCCAAATTTTTCGTATTGCGATATATTGTGATATGTGTTGGCGAATTGCAATATGTATTGCAATATATTGTGGAAGTGTCACACATGGTTTAAGGTAATGAAATCATTGAAACTCTGCACCCTCCCTTTTCTCAATTTGAAACAATGCCACTGACCACTGTCAGGACTCAGATGTGATTGTACAAGATATCAATTGAAAATGTTTCCCAAATGAAGACTTCTCTTTAAAGTTTGAAACTCCAGAAAAAGCGTCTGCAGCAGCATCCTCCATTTTGTTTTGTTTTTATCCCTGCAACAAGTGTTTTGTTTATATGGTTGAAAAGTCATGCAAATGCAATTATATGACCAATAAACATTCTCAAAACTAATAATGTATAATAATATAAAGGAAATACAAATGTCATTAGTATTTTTTACTACATCACGAAAATTACCGATCATGGTCACGGAAATTGCCGATCGTATCGGGTGAACCGGTTCGCGAAAAGGTCACCGCAATATATCGTATTGTGAAGTTCGAATTACAATGTACCGGTTAACCGGTATTATCGCCTGGCCCTACTAGGCTACCCTGCCACCACCCTCACAGGGGTACAATGTGTGAAGCCCATTTCTGGTGTCCCCTGCCGTGGTATTGCTGGAATATTGCTAAAGTGGCTTAAAACTAAACTCACTCACACATAGAATTGGTCTTCAGAAACCTATGCTTGTCATAAGAGGCAGTTGTTTGGCGGTCAGACTCCTTCACTTGGTTGATGCATGTATCCAGAGTGTGTCATCAACTGTGTCAATCACTGGATTGTCTTGTCCAGACCGAAATATTTTCACATAGCTGAAACATTGCTAGATTGGCCATTCATGGGTTAGAATGGGTTAGATACCTCGTTAGGATGAGAAAGCCACAATAACTCGGTGCGCCTAGTGGCTGCAAGAGTTGTATACTCCCCAGGGACTTGAGATTGATAATGCGATGTGCCGTTGAGATTGACATCCAATGATCGAGGGAAAAATACCAGCGCCTTGAGCATGCACTAGTGCGTGGATATGTGCGCTATATAAATATCCTATGATATATAAATATCCTATGATAGAATAAGATCCATGATTTATTTATGTAACACACTAAGCTCTATAGAATGATTGTGTTTAGTTTTCTGCAGCTTTTAGTAATATTTCAGCAATATCACAGTAAGGGACACCAGAAATGGGCTTCACACATTGTACCCATGTGTGATATGATTGCTATACCCACCAGACTACCCCATTGTACTTGTTCGACTAAATGTCTGAGATGTGCGTCACTTCAGGCTTTGATCTGATACCAAGCTTACACTGTTGTGCAGGGAGATCAGAGCTATGTTCATCTTGTCGGACCGCCTCCGGGGTGTAGTGGTTAGAGCGCCCGCCCGGAGAGCGGAAGGTGGCGGGTTCGATCCCCAACCGCGTCATACCAAAAAGACGTTAAAATATGGTACTTGTTGGTCCCTCCCTGGCTCTCGGCATTAATGGGTACAACAAGGACTGGTCGGCTCGGAGTCAGTATAATGTGTCTGAGTGGGGTATTCATGCTTCACTGCGGCATGGTATCTCAGTGGGCTAGCTCTATAAAACCAGCTTATGTCTGGGCTAGTACAAGCAGCCGCACATACACATACACATGCATGCACGTCGTCATATGAGCGAAATATTCTCAAGCGCGACGTAAAAACCAATTTCACCTCACCTCATGCTTGTAAGAGGCGGTTGTCAGGCTCGCTGACTTGATTACACATATCATATCCCAATTGCGTAGATTGACGCTCATGCTGTTGATCACTGGATTGTCTGTTCCAGATTTGATTATTTGCAGACCATCACCATATATCTGGAATATTGATGAGTGTGGTATGAAACTATAAACTCTCTCACTCACAGACTGACTGCATTGACCATTGATGCTTGTGACATAAAACAATATTCTGCTTCTCAGTAGAACATTCTGGAAAAACATGAATGATGATTAGAGTGAGTGAGTATGGTTCTACCCCGCTTTTAGCAATATTCCAGCAAAATCACGGCTGGGGGCACCAGAAATGGTCTTCACACATTGGACCCTAGTGGGAAATCGAACCGGGCCTTTGGCACGTGTGTCGAACACTTTAACCACTAGGTTACCCCAATGCCTCAAATGATTACTAAAGACAGTTATTTACAAAGTTTATTTATACAATGACAAATATGACTAACTACAATATATGTACAGGGAAGGTCATAAATAAGCGTCACTCTCTTAGATGTGATCAAGATAATGATACACGTGTATTCTTTAAAGTGTAGCAAAAAGTATTCACATTCATGATGTGCTGTGTGCTCATGCAGAGTTTAACCTGGAATTTTATAGTACAGTCGAGCACCGTTGTGCCGAACTCATAATTTACCATTATTCAAGCTCTTTTAGCTCGATACGGATGTCTCGATATTTCATGGTCCCAACAAGCAAAATTACCCTTTTAACTCGATATTTGCAAAGAAATTCGATATTCACCTACCTATCATGGGCAAGTATCTCCCTGAACTGAGGTTGTTTCCACACGGTGCGGCATGAATCAAAGGGATGCGGTAGTGTAAACTAATTAGGGCTAATTGAGTTGAAGGTGTCACTTGTTTGTTATTATTTATTAGGAAGGGATCACCGTTACGACTAAACACTACTGATCACGGATTATAGTTTCGAATCAAAACATACTGAGACTCGTTTTGTTTTCTTTCATAGTGATATGTGATGATATGCCCTGTTCGGATGTCTCGAATGTCGGATGTCTCGAATTTCGGATAACTCGATATTTTTCTTGGTTCCATGAATATCGAGACAACTGTGCTCGTCTCTATTTATCAAACAAGTGATCATGAGTCTTTAGCTTTGATTTGAAAGAAAGGACAGTGGTAGCAGTTTTGATGATATCGGGAAGACAATTTAGAGGTAGCCGTGGAAGAAAAGACATTTTCCTAAAGTAAAGATTTCATCTGTGAACCAAGAAGAGGTGTATGGGATGGTTCTGTCCACGACAGTAGACTGGTGAGCGAGTGGGTCTGACCAGTGTGTGAAATACACTTCTCTTCAAAAGTTTAGACTCACTTAAAACACTCACTATACGTTATGTATATAGTATGGGCTATTTTGCAAAATGTAGTTTAGAACAGTTGCCTGAAGTAAGTGGCTATATTTACACTAGTGAGTCGAAACTTTTGATGAGAAGTATAGTTTCCAAATTTTGCAAGCCAGTCAGGCTAGAAATGCCTGAAAGTTACTAGCCCAAAATATAATTCACTAGTCTGAATGTTGACATGGGTTTCATGAACAGTTTTATCAGGCCATAAACTCGCATGATTTGAAAGTGTATTATAACATAACAATTTGGAGAGAGTGATATATTTACAAAACGACCCCAGCCAGTCGGGCCAGTGACAGAGGACATATACTAGCCCAGGAGTTTTACTAGCCACGGGCTAGCGGGCCAGTGTCTATTTCGCACACTGGTTCCGACAGCTCAAGACTGATGCGGTTGTTGCTGATTTGGGAATGAACAGCTTTCCGGCGCTCTATTCTAACATAAGCTGAATGACCCTTTTTCATAAGCATTAATATGTCCTTTCTTGGGTATGCCTGTTAGTGAACGTAATAATTACGGTGTGTCACGCTATTAAAACTGGTCTGTATATATTACACAATATGGGGATCTGATTATGCTGAGGAATGAATACTCAGAAGTTTGAGATAATAATAATAATAATAGGTCATTTATATAGCGCCTTTCCACGTCACAGGGATATGCTCAAAGCGCTTCCTGAGCTCAAGTTAAAACTATATACAGTTATACAGATACGTGGTGATGGTTGAACTGATAGACACGCAATCGAGGAGGAAGCACATATGATGATGATGATGAAACAGAAACCAAATGACTGACCTCCAAGCCGCCTTCAAGAGGAATGTTTTTATTTATTTGTTAGTGAGGGGGCGGTCATTTATTATTGGTGGGTCAGAAGGAATCTGGAGGGGTCTCCAACATATTTGACCGTGTCTGGGGTAGGGTAGAACAAGCATACACATATCTTGGAAGGGTCATGAAAACGTTAGCGTTCTGTTATAAGATATAGAGTTCGTTTGCAGTTTGTTTTATGGAGGACAACTGGGGGTCATCCAAATCCATAACATGCACAAGGGTTCGGATTTTGGAAACAAAAAACATCGGTTAGCCAATCAAAAGGCACGGAATCACTGTTTTGGAATTTCAGCTGATCCTTACAGGTAAGGGACGCAACTTTGTACAGTCCCACTTCAGGCAGAGATCACAACCTGTACGATTTTATCATAGTCACTACGAATTTTAGTCTCAACCTACGCCAATACGATTGCACTAGAAATTCTACAAAATTTCATAAAAATTCGGATATATAGACAAAAACATATTTTCGTTAAGTAAAAAAAGAGACGACAAGAAGAAATGTAATGCGGATAATTTTGAAATCTACTGTTGGAGGTATGTGAAATTAAATCTTCACTCTTGATTAGTGTCATATTATCTTTCTTAGACTCCATCATGATTTTAAGTATTTAGTTGACTACTAATTTTATGGTCAAACTACCAATTTTGATCCTTGAAACTACCATTTGCAGCACTTTGGGGTTGGCATCTCTGCTCAGATCACTTCACGGCCCCACACCAACATAGTATTACAGTTTTAGTACCTGATATAATGCTCATGTTGCGTATAGACAGACACATTGCCTGTTTAACCAATCAAAAGGCACGGAATCACTTAATTAGAATATCAGCGGATCCTTACAGGTAGGGGGCACAACTCACACAGAGTCCCACCGCAGATCACTTCACAACCCCACACCAACATAGTATTACAGTTATAGTACCTGATATAATGCTCATGTTGCGTATAGACAGACACATTGCCTGTTTAACCAATCAAAAGGCACGGAATCACTTAATTAGACTGACTGACTGACTGAGTTTAGTTTTACGCCGCTTTTAGCAATATTCCAGCAATATCACGGCGGGGGACACCAGAAATGGGCTTAACACATTGTGCCCATGTGGGGAATCGAACCCGGGTCTTCGGCGTGACGAGCCAACGCTTTAACCACTAGGCTACCCCACCGCCCCCACTTAATTAGAATATCAGCGGATCCTTACAGGTAGGGGACACAACTCCACAGAGTCCCACCGCAGATCACTTCACGACCCCACACTAACATAGTATTAGAGTTTTAGTACCTGATATAATGCTCATGTTGCGTATAGACAGACACATTGCCTGTTTAACCAATCAAAAGGCACGGAATCACTTAATTAGAATATCAGCGCATCCTTACAGGTAGGGGACACAACTCCACAGAGTCCCACCGCAGATCACTTCACGACCCCACACCAACATAGTATTACAGTTTTGGTAGCTGCCGTGTTGTCCATGTGTCAAAATGATACCCTTCTATTCCCATTGACCTTGACCAGCTGAACATTCCAGACAGAGCAGGTGCGCTCATTGTAAAGCCTGTCTCTTGACCCTCGGTATCTCCACCCCCTTGCTGCCCCTCCTCCCCCGGGACGCCGGCTTCACCTCCTCCACCAAGGGGGAAATCAGTTGGAACTGTGGATCTTTGTGGCTGAAGCAGGCGAAGATGAACCGACCAGGCCCGAAGGGCGTCCTTCCGATCAGGAAGTTGGCAAAGATCTGCTCGTAGCTTGTTGCGTCCAGCGGGTAGTTACCGTTCTGTAAAATGCATAAACTGAGTCATTAGGTTTTGATTGTTGTTTCATATCTATGTTAAGTTTCATACATTAAATAGTTTGGTCTGAACCAGACAATGCAGTGACTGGCATAACGAGTATTGACCCATGCAGATGTAATGAAGTGATATGCAATCCATCACTCCACCAAGCGGGACATCCCCATCCTTTTCGGGACCTCTTACAACAAGCATGGGTTTCAATCTATATTTTTACCCGTAAATCCAATGGATTAGATCTGAATGTGAATATATTAATACGTGTTTGTTTGTTCGTTCCTTTGTTTGTTGTTTAACGCCACAATCAGTATTATAACATATATATCGCAGCAGTCGATAAATAATAGCGTCTGAACCAGACAATCCAGTGATCAACAGCATGAGCACCGATCTATGCAGTTGGGATACGATGACATACTTACATCTGTCATCTGGTCTATGGCTTTCTTGGCTTGCTTCTTGGCCTCATCTGGTTCCACATCACACAGCTTTTCATAGAACTGAGCGAGCTCATCTTCGTCAATCTCGTTATCGCCTGCAACATGACCAGGGTTAGCATAACATATTGTATCATCATCATCATCATCATCATCATCATCATCATCATCATCATCATCATCATCATCATCAGGCCATATGAGTGTCAGGATCATATAGTCCAGACAAAATAGGTAAAAGAATTTCAATTATTTTTTTTTCACCTTGTCTTAATCACCTCTGTCAGTGACCCGCGGATATCGACCATTCCGTGCTGGTCAACCCTAATGATGATGCTAGTCACCTGTAGAGACAGTCCTACTGAAGTCTGCCTTCATCTCTACCACCTTACTGATGTTACAGTCCTACTGATGTCTGCCTTCATCTCTACCACCTTACTGATGTTACAGTCCTACTGATGTCTGCCTTCATCTCTACCACCTTACTGATGTTACAGTCCTACTGATGTCTGCCTTCATCTCTACCACCTTACTGATGTTACAGTCCTACTGATGTCTGCCTTCATCTCTACCACCTTACTGATGTTACAGTCCTACTGATGTCTGCCTTCATCTCTACCACCTTACTGATGTTACAGTCCTACTGATGTCTGCCTTCATCTCTACCACCTTACTGATGTTACAGTCCTACTGATGTCTGCCTTCATCTCTACCACCTTACTGATGTTACAGTCCTACTGATGTCTGCCTTCATCTCTACCACCTTACTGATGTTACAGTCCTACTGATGTCTGCCTTCATCTCTACCACCTTACTGATGTTACAGTCCTACTGATGTCTGCCTTCATCTCTACCACCTTACTGATGTTACAGTCCTACTGATGTCTGCCTTCATCTCTACCTACACCTTACTGATGTTACAGTCCTACTGATGTCTGCCTTCATCTCTACCACCTTACTGATGTTACAGTCCTACTGATGTTGCCTTCATCTCTACCACCTTACTGATGACAGTCCTACTGATGTCTGCCTTCATCTCTACCCTTACTGATGTTACAGTCCTACTGATGTCTGCCTTCATCTCTACACCTTACTGATGTTACAGTCCTACTGATGTCTGCCTTCATCTCTACCACCTTACTGATGTTGCAGTCCTACTGATGTCTGCCTTCATCTCTACCACCTTACTGATGTTACAGTCCTACTGATGTCTGCCTTCATCTCTACCACACCTTACTGATGTTACAGTCCACTGATGTCTGCCTTCATCTCTACCACCTTACTGATGTTACAGTCCTACTGATGTCTGCCTTCATCTCTACCACCTTACTGATGTTACAGTCCTACTGATGTCTGCCTTCATCTCTACCACCTTACTGATGTTACAGTCCTACTGATGTCTGCCTTCATCTCTACCACCTTACTGATGTTACAGTCCCACTGATGTCTGCCTTCATCTCTACCACCTTACTGATGTTACAGTCCTACTGATGTCTGCCTTCATCTCTACCACCTTACTGATGTTACAGTCCTACTGATGTCTGCCTTCATCTCTACCACCTTACTGATGTTACAGTCCTACTGATGTCTGCCTTCATCTCTACCACCTTACTGATGTTACAGTCCTACTGATGTCTGCCTTCATCTCTACCACCTTACTGATGTTACAGTCCTACTGATGTCTGCCTTCATCTCTACCACCTTACTGATGTTACAGTCCTACTGATGTCTGCCTTCATCTCTACCACCTTACTGATGTTACAGTCCTACTGATGTCTGCCTTCATCTCTACCACCTTACTGATGTTACAGTCCTACTGATGTCTGCCTTCATCTCTACCACCTTACTGATGTTACAGTCCTACTGATGTCTGCCTTCATCTCTACCACCTTACTGATGTTACAGTCCTACTGATGTCTGCCTTCATCTCTACCACCTTACTGATGTTACAGTCCTACTGATGTCTGCCTTCATCTCTACCACCTTACTGATGTTACAGTCCTACTGATGTCTGCCTTCATCATCTCTACCACCTTACTGATACTGATTACAGTCCTACTGATGTCTGCCTTCATCTCTACCACCTTACCTTACTGATGTTACAGTCCTACTGATGTCTGCCTTCATCTCTACTACCACCTTACTGATGTTACAGTCCTACTGATGTCTGCCTTCATCTCTACCACCTTACTGATGTTACAGTCCTACTGATGTCTGCCTTCATCTACCACCTTACTGATGTTACAGTCCTACTGATGTCTGCCTTCATCTCTACCACCTTACTGATGTTACAGTCCTACTGATGTCTGCCTTCATCTCTACCACCTTACTGATGTTACAGTCCTACTGATGTCTGCCTTCATCTCTACCACCTTACTGATGTTACAGTCCTACTGATGTCTGCCTTCATCTCTACCACCTTACTGATGTTACAGTCCTACTGATGTCTGCCTTCATCTCTCTACCACCTTACTGATGTTACAGTCCTACTGATGTCTGCCTTCATCTCTACCACCTTACTGATGTTACAGTCCTACTGATGTCTGCCTTCATCTCTACCACCTTACTGATGTTACAGTCCTACTGATGTCTGCCTTCATCTCTACCACCTTTACTGATGTTACAGTCCTACTGATGTCTGCCTTCATCTCTACCACACCTTACTGATGTTACAGTCCTACTGATGTCTGCCTTCATCTCTACCACCTTACTGATGTTACAGTCCTACTGATGTCTGCCTTCATCTCTACCACCTTACTGATGTTACAGTCCTACTGATGTCTGCCTTCATCTCTACCACCTTACTGATGTTACAGTCCTACTGATGTCTGCCTTCATCTCTACCACCACCTTACTGATGTTGCCTTCAGTCCTACTGATGTCCTACTGTCTGCCTTCATCTCTACCACCTTACTGATGTTACAGTCCTACTGATGTCTGCCTTCATCTCTACCACCTTACTGATGTTACAGTCCTACTGATGTCTGCCTTCATCTCTACCACCTTACTGATGTTACAGTCCTACTGATGTCTGCCTTCATCTCTACCACCTTACTGATGTTACAGTCCTACTGAAGTCTGCCTTCATCTCTACCACCTTACTGATGTTACAGTCCTACTGATGTCTGCCTTCATCTCTACCACCTTACTGATGTTACAGTCCTACTGATGTCTGCCTTCATCTCTACCACCTTACTGATGTTACAGTCCTACTGATGTCTGCCTTCATCTCTACCACCTTACTGATGTTACAGTCCTACTGATGTCTGCCTTCATCTCTACCACCTTACTGATGTTACAGTCCCACTGATGTCTGCCTTCATCTCTACCACCTTACTGATGATGTTACAGTCCTACTGATGTCTGCCTTCATCTCTACCACCTTACTGATGTTACAGTCCTACTGATGTCTGCCTTCATCTCTACCACCTTACTGATGTTACCAGTCCTACTGATGTCTGCCTTCATCTCTACCACCTTACTGATGTTACAGTCCTACTGATGTCTGCCTTCATCTCTACCACCTTACTGATGTTACAGTCCTACTGATGTCTGCCTTCATCTCTACCACCTTACTGATGTTACAGTCCTACTGATGTCTGCCTTCATCTCTACCACCTTACTGATGTTACAGTCCTACTGATGTCTGCCTTCATGTCTACCACCTTACTGATGACAGTCCTACTGATGTCTGCCTTCATGTCTACCACCTTACTGATGTTACAGTCCTACTGATGTCTGCCTTCATCTCTACCACCTTACTGATGTTACAGTCCTACTGATGTCTGCCTTCATCTCTACCACGTTACTGATGTTACAGTCCTACTGATGTCTGCCTTCATCTCTACCACGTTACCGATGTTACAGTCCTACTGATGTCTGCCTTCATCCCTACCACGTTACCGATGTTACAGTCCTACTGACGTCTGCCTTCATGTCTACCGCCCTACGTATATTACTACCTTGCTGCCCTATTGTTACAGCCCTACTAATTTCTGATTTGATCGTTACCGCCATCGCTGATGAACCGTCCTCTCTGAGGTGTCGACTCACCATTCCTGTCGATCATTCTGAAGAGAGTCTCTGGCAGCAGCCTCATCCAGACCGGAAAGTTCTGCATCCCCATGGTGCACGGCAACAACTTCTCCCACATGTTCATCCACTCCGTCAGAGTCACCTCCTCTACATCAACCACAACATGGTATGGGTTACACACCCACCTTGGTTCCAACATGGAGTGGTTAAGTACAGGCCCTCGAGGATTAAAGATTTTAAAAAATATATAAATTTGATGACCCACGACTCGGAGTGCTCCACAGTACAATAAATCATGATATATTGTATTGTGAAGCATTTCGAGTCGGGGGTCATCTCAAAAAAGAATAAATTAATCTTTAATCCTCGCAAAGACACGAGGGCCTGTGGTGGTAAGTGCCGGGTTTCCCCTTAACTCTGACGAGACAGTATTTTAATCGGCACTTACAACATTGCCACTGTGACCACCACCACCATCACTACCACCACCACCACCACCACCACCACCACCACTACTACTGCTGGTACTACTACTACTACTACTACTACTACTACTACTACTACTACTACTACTACTACTACTACTACTACTACTACTACTACTACTACTACTACTACTACTACTACTACTACTGCTACCACTACTACTACTGCTACTACTACTACTGCTACTACTACTACTACTACTACTACTACTACTACTACTACTACTACTACTACTGCTACTACTACTACTACCACTACTACTACTACTACTACTACTACCACTACTACTATACTACTGCTACTAATTCTACTATTACCACTACTAGTAGTTGTCTCAGTACTACTACATCTACATCTACCATTGCCACTACCACCACTACTGCTTGTAGTAGAACTACTAGTAGTAATTACTACTGCTACTACAACAACTAATTCTACTTCTACTACTGCTGCTACAACTGCTACGACTACTGCTACACCTACTAGTAGTACTGTGTACAACTGCTACTACAACCAGTAATACTACTTTTACTACTGCTGCTACAACTGCTACGACTACTGCTACACCTACTGTACTGTGTACAACTGCTACTACAACCGGTAGTACTACTTTTACTACTGCTGCTACAACTGCTACGACTACTGCTACACCTACTGTACTGTGCCAATACTGCTACTACAAATACTTTATCTAATGCTGAAACTACTACATTAAAAAAGCTTTTGAGGAGTAGCTATACTCACGCTTCGGTTCTGCAGAATCCCCCTCCACCCGCTTAAACAGCACTTCGAAGAAGGCCTCGTGGACTTCAGCTGACTTCAGAGCCTGCTGGGAGTTCTCCGCCCATCCGGTGAAGTCAAGGATACGCTGAAATATTGACGAGGACACGATTTTACGACCATTTTACGCTGATTTAGCACAAGATTACATAAACCAACCACTTCATAAAACATTATCATGAAATCATTCGCCGAAAACTGACATTTTCATGGAAAATGAAGCTGCGAGCTTTAAAATGACGAATATGTAAATTTTTCAGTCGTGACAAGGTCAATTTATGTGTAGTTTAGGGGACAATCTAAATCCAGGGTAATTATGAAGTGTGTGACATTTCAGCTTTCGCAGGTCAATAGTCAGTACTTTTCAAAATTGCAGGAACACGTAAATGTTATAGACACCGTATAATCCGGAACAGTCTTTTCTGATACTGTCTTTTGTCCCACGAATAAATCCACAATGTATAGTGTGTGAGTGAGTTTAGTTTTACGCCGCTTTTAGCTATGTTCCAGAAATATTACTGCGGGGGACAGCAGAAATCGGCTTCACACATTGTACCCATGTGGGAAATCGAAAACGGGTCTTCGTGACGAGCGAACGCCGAAGACCCAGGTTCGATTCCCCACATGAGTACAATGTGTGAAGCCCATTTCTGGTGTCCCCCGCCGTGATATTGCTGGAATATTGCTAAAAACGGCGTAAAACCATACTCAGTCAGTACTCAGTCTGTTGTGACGAGCGAACGCTTTATCCACTAGGCTACCCTAGTATTGCTAAAAGCGGCGTAAAACCAGATTCACTTTGAGTGCTCATTTAGCGCCAGTATACATCGGTATTTTGATACGATGTTCCTATCGTATGACAATTTCAAATGAAAATATACATTTGACAAGAGGTATAGTTTCTCTTGCTTTGCAAAAAAGAACAGGGTATACACTAGTGTTACCTTCTTGATAAACTCAAGATCACGTAGTTCAAGCTTTCCATTGCCATCTGCGTCTGAAAACAAGCAGTCGACAAGGTCATAATAGTCCTGCATTTTGATTGAATCATTAACTTGTGTTAAACTGTCAAATGTTACTTCAGTGGTGTATAAAAAGGGCATTACTTCAGAATGGCATAATCACATGCAGACACCTAAATCCAATGCTCGTGGGTTCGAATCCCGATAGGAACCGATTGTGTTTCCAAAACCTGACTCACTCACTTGCCTTGCGACGAGTAATTGTTTGATAATAAAGCTTATACGAAAGGCAGGGTGAGTGAGTGGGTAAGTTGAGTTTTACGCCGCACTCAGCAATATTTCATCTTTATGGCGGCGGTCTGTAAATAATCGAGTCTAGACCAGAAAATCTACTGATCAACAGCATGAGCAAACGATCTACGCAATTGGGAACCGATGACACGTGTCAACCAAGTCAGCGAGCCTGATCACACGATCCCGTTAGTCGGCTCTTACGACAAGCATGGATTACTGAAGATAAATTCTAACCGGGATTTTCACGGGTCGAAACAAGGATGAAGTTATCCATATCAGTCCCACATGTTAAGAACCCATCAACATGAAAGTGACAATCGAATCCTGTTGATGAACATATTTCAGCTCTGAGACATATATTGATTAAGTGGGTCGGGTTCTACGCCGCTTCTAAATATATTCCAGCAATATCACGGCGGGGGACACCAGAAATGGGCTTCACACGTTTTAACTGCGGAGAAACGAATCTGGACTTTCGGTGTGACGAGCGAACGCTTTAACCACTAGGCTACCCCACCGTTCCCTTGGACGTATACTGAATATACTGAGTCGAGGTATGGGTATTCGGGTATTATGAAACTTGGGAGCAGCAGTGGTCAATCTTTGGCCTATCCAGGCTCTTGTGATTACAATCAGTGATTTGTACACTACTACAGGCCGACCACCTGTGAAGTCCTGTCATGGGCGGCGACAGAGGGCTAGGCTAATTAAAGTGTTCGCTCGTCACCCCGTGGTCGATTCCCAATATGGGTACAATGTGTGAAACCCATTTAGGGTGTCCCCGCCGTGATGTTGCTGGAATATTGGTAAAAGCGGCGTAAAACCATACTCACTCACTCACTCAAGGAACAACCTGAGTTTTGGTTGATAGGTTGTCATGGTAATCGGAATGGGTAGATCGATGCTCATGATGTCAATCACTAGACTATCTGGACCCATCGCAGGAACATTATGGCGTTAGACAATATACGAACAGGGCCAGTTTCGGGGGGCCTTTTTGAACGGTAGAGTGTTCACTGGATCTACGAGGAGATATTTTCCAACCGTCCTGAACAGAAGGACGCCCTTTGGGTTGTTCATCTTGAGACACCAGGATCCGCAGTGTCCCGTTAATTAGTTGGAATATTAACGAGAGCTGTGAGTGAGTGAGTTAAAATCTAAAGTCACTGTGGCAATATTTCAGCCATATCGTGACTAAAACAACATATATATTAACAATAATTAAAGATAGAGACGAGAGCTGTGTTAAACAACGGACAAACATGGGTACTACCCCAGACTCAGAGTACAGGTGGGGGTAATGGTTGTGGGTAATGTTCTCTTACCGAAAAAGTTGAAATAATACTCCAACTTCTCAACCTGGAACTGTGACAGAAACATCTTGCTGCTGTAACAGAGAAATGGAAACGTAGGACTACGATCAACGTTTATGTATGTGGGACAAACGCATTGGTGCATTGTATGAAGGTATATATGCATGTACTGTCTGATTTAACCATGCAAATCCAAAGCCATGAGAAAATAAAAGATTTCTAATATGTGCAGCCCATGTTATCGAGATGAACAAGCATATTATAAGCTATTTTAGGTATACGTTGTTCATGCATTTCCAGAATCTTAAGCCAATACTTTAAACATCTGATTTGTGAATTTATAGAAACTGGATATCTCCCACATTCCCCATAAACCATACAATTTGGCCTTGCTTGTCCAACATTTAGAAATTCTTTTACTAGCTAAGAGATGAAGTTTCTCAAGACATTCTTGACGCTGAAACCCCCAAACTTCTGACCCGTAAAGCATAATCGGTTGAATTTGTGAATCAAACAGTTTGAAAAATATGTTTGGAGTGAAGATACCTATATTCTGAGAAACAGACCTAACATTAATGAAAACCTTCTTTGCACGTGATTGCAAATCAAGAACATGTTTTTTTAAATTTCATCCAGTGAGAAAACATAAGACCAAGGTAAGTATAGTGAAAGTATAGTGTATGTCTGTATGTCTGTATGTCTGTATGTATGTATGTATGTATGTATGTATGTATGTATGTATGTATGTATGTATGTATGTATGTATGTATGTATGTATGTATGTATGTATGTATGTATGTATGTATGTATGTATGTATGTACCTGTATGTATGTATGTATGTATGTATGTATGTATGTATGTACCTGTATGTATGTATGTATGTATGTATGTATGTATGTATGTATGTATGTATGTATGTATGTATGTATGTATGTATGTATGTATGTATGTATGTATGCATGCATGCATGCATGTATGTATGTGCGTGTGCGTGTGTGCATGCGTGCGTCTGTGTCACGGTGGGTGAAAGAGTGTGATACGTGTTAGCATTGGTGTCTGTTTGAGTGAGTGAGTTAGTGAATGAGAGAGAGAGTGTGTATATGTGTGCATGTTTTTCTGTGTGTGCGTGTGTGTTTCTTATGTATGTTACACACTCGCGCACACACACGTTCTTCATGTGCTGTAGGGATTTCATTCCTGGAAACAGGTCGGATGGAAACAGGTCGGATGGAAACAGGAACTTTAAGGTGCTTAATATTTAACTGGAAATGGGTAGGACATCACCCAATCAAAACCCCCTCTACGCGTCTGGTTTCAAACAGAGGTAAAATAGGTCTTTGAATGGCATTTTTGTTAAAATACATATCCACACAGTATTGGTATAGCGAATGGGGTTATAATGTTATAATCATGTCCTGCTTCCAACTCTCAGTCAAACAGGTTAAATATTCACCACAAAAAGGTCGACAGATACCAACAAAAAAGCAGCTGAGAGTACTACAATGTCGACTTACTTCAGGCTGTTGATTTAAAACTACACATCGAAATTTTGGACTAACGTCATGACAACGCTACATTCTATTGACAATGAAACGCCCCAAAAGACACCAATAAAAGCGTTCAAGTTTCTCAGCTGATGAAACGCTTTGTGTTTGAGGTCAAGGCTGAGCGGGGGTTGACGTCACTGTCAGATCTGATCACGTCATGGTTCTGCGTCGGGAAAAGGAAGGAAGCCTAAAGCTGCTACATTTGTAGCGTAAAATATTGTTGAAATTTATCGTTGCTTGGAATATTTTGTCGGTGCTTGGGCGTATTTTCTTGCTATTTCAATCATTTTCTCGTTACTTCGATTATTTTCTCGTTGCGACTATTTCTTTTTACTTCAAGTTTCTGTCAAATCTTGAAATTTCGAGTATTTGCTTTCGGGTGTTTTCTCTTTACTTCAGTTATTTGTTCGTTGCCTCGGTTAATTTATCGTTGCTTCAAGTTTCTTAAAAAAACATGTTAAATTTCGAGCTTTTGAATAAACTTTAAGTAACGACATAAAATATCGAAGCAGCGAGAACATACTGGAAGTAACGAGAAAATAATTGAAATAACGAGATAATACCCCCAATGACGGATAAAATAATGGAAGCAACGATAAAGTTCGATAAAAATATACTTAAAGCAACAAAACTGGCAGTATGACTTTCGTAGTATGCGTATTGTTCAATGTGACAACGATTCTCGTAAGACAAATATACTGAGAGAAAAAAAAAAGGATCACAGGAAAATTCAAACGCTCCTTTATTATTTTCCAGTTTTCATCACCACAGCGCTGTTCAAAACTGGTGATGAACACTGGAAAATATAAAAGGAACACTTGAATGTTCCTGTGATCCTTTATTTGTTTCTCTCAGTATATAACGTTATTGATAAGTAATATATTCCTGGCTCTGCCAAAGAACTGATTTCGTTTTAAAGTATCGTGGGCACTTTGACCCATGTTTTGTAAGGGATTTCTATATATTTCCTGAGTTGACTATATCTCTATGGTCTATGTCAGTACAAATGAAACAGAAACACCTTGACCATTTACAACCATGGCCAGCAGGTCATGGTCAGTCATTTGCAGGTCAGTAGCTATATAATCACAGGTCAAGGTCAAGTTGGCCACTGAAGCGTGACATTGCTGAGAGGTGGGGAACACTACAGGCTAACCACACATCTGTCGCAAAAGGGACACGTGACAATCTGACCAGGGATCGACCCTTATGGGTAAATAGAGAATGCTTTGTGACCCTCGGGCACTTGCTAGACAGGTGGGCTGACGATAGCCTTTGGGATAATGCCTGGCTGATGCTGTACTGTTTTTGTATAGTGAGTGAGTGAGTCTAGTTTTATCCCGCTTTTAGCAATATTCCAGGAATACTACGGCGCGGGACACCAGAAATGGTGGGGAATCGAACCCGGATCTCCGGCGTGACGAGCGGACGCTTTAACCATTAGGCTATCCAACCGCCCCTGTTATTTTATAACTGGACCTGGCTTCAACATATTATATTTGGGATTACAATTTCTTTAATAATTTTCTTTTGGTATTGTGTAATCATAGACCTTGAAAAAAAGTGTTGTGGGACCACTATATTTAAACTACAATTTAATGGAAAATAATTGGAGCCGGTTACTATCTGTATCAGAAAATACATTTAGGTAAAATGCATGTAAAGCTCTACTTCAGTGTCGTCGCGAATAGCTGAAGAAATAGCAGATATCGCGAAAAACAATATTCCCTCAGTCACTTGCTTCAGAGTCACCGTGGCTATGATGGCAAACCAGCAACAATATGAATGTGTGAACAATCCTTCCTTAAACGGTATTATTACTACAACTAATTTCCATAAGAATCTAGCATTTGCGCTTAATCGTATATATTTTATGTTTATAAAATTCACTTCAATGACTGCCGTCTTCACTAAACGTCTTTCGCCTTAACTTTTCATGAAACTGAAAGCAAAGACTCGTGCTGAAACATACACAGTTACACGGGGTATGAATAGGGAAGACTGAATACCTTCTCCACAGTGCAGAAGCACAAACCTTGTCATATCTCACAAACCAAACACTCAGTTAATGTCAAGGTGAACTGTATTGTTATGTGTTTGCCTTATAGGGCAAGGTGACCCGTCTAAACAGCTACTGACTCGTGAGTGAGTGAGGTTTAGTTTTACGCCGCCTTTAGCAATATTCAAGCAACATCACAACGGGGAAGACAAGGAATGGGCTTCACACATTCCACATTCACCCATGTGGAAAATCGAACCCCGGTCTTCGACGTGACGAGAGAACGCTTTAACCACTAGACTACCCTACCGTCCTACTGACTCAATACTTACAGGACTCAACTCAACCCACATGAACGGCATATCTTGACATATCTCGCAAAAGAAATAAAGAGCACAAGTTTGTTAAACGTGTGTGTCCACAGAAAAAACAAACAGAAAAAACACAACATCGTGTGAACTGCTTTGAAAACCCGCATATATTCACCGTTACACCATCTATACCTATATTGAGTGCTGTCTTTACGAAAGATCAGTACAGCAACACTGACTTCTTTTTCTAATGCTACCTTTCAATCAGTCATTTCCTACGGGTACACCAGGGATAAACACAAACCGTTCATCCAAGCTCCTGGTGAGTGAGTGACTTTAGTTTTACGCCGCACTCAGCAATATTCCAGCTATATGGCGGCGGTCTGTAAATAATCGAGTCTGGACCAGACAATCTAGTGATCAACAGCATGAGCATCGATCTGCGCAACTGGCCAAGCTCCTGGTAGAGATCCCTATCCCTGCATACAATGCTGTCTTACAGAATTGCAATAATTCCTATAACATTATAAGCCGTATTTCTTCATGGCACTGCTCCAAAAATATGACATAACACTGCACCATGACACTGCTCCACTAAAATTATGACATGACACGGCTCCACTAAAACTATTACACAACACTGCTCCATGACACTGATCCTGTAAAATATGACATGACACTGTTCCACTAAAATATGACAGGACACTGCTTCACTAAAATATGACAGGACACTGCTTCACTAAAATATGACACTGCTCCACTAAAATATGACATGACACTGCTCCACTAAAATATGACATGACACTGCTTCACTAAAATATGACATGACACTGCTCCACTAAAATATGACATGACACTGCTCCACTAAAATATGACATGACACTGCTCCACTAAAATATGACATGACACTGCTCCACTAAAATATGACATGACACTGCTCCACTAAAATATGACATGACACTGCTCCACTAAAATATGACATGACACTGCTCCACTAAAATATGACATGACACTGCTCCACCAAAAATATGACAGGACACTGCTCCACTAAAATATGACAGGACACTGCTCCACTAAAAATATGACATGACACTGCTCCACTAAAATAAAATATGACATGACACTGCTCCACCAAAAATATGACATGACACTGCTTCACTAAATATGACATGACACTGCTCCAGTAAAATATGACATGACACTGCTCCACTAAAAT